ATCCTATGTCATGCACTTCACAGAATCATTAGTATAAGTTTAGCGCATTCTATTTATACTTCGTACAATATGTTTTGCTGCCCGTTAAATACTTCACATTTCTATTTACCAAAAAGTTCTTGAAAAAAGGTTACTTTTAACTAAAATCAAGTTTTAAATGTTTCAGTAAGATTTCGTATAAGACGAGAATGTTTTTGCTTTATTGTGGGCGGGAATTGGTATATAGGACTTTGGTTTTTGAAAATTGTAATCAGGAGTGCCCAGTACAAACACTGATGAGTGCCCAATGAGAGCAACTGGTATACTAAGTCTTTCTTTAGTTTTTCTTTCTATAAATAAACTACTTTCATCCCAATCGCTGTGATTTCAGTGTGTGGTACAACATGGGAAATTATGTTTTGATTGAATGGTTATAAAAATTGTGGTTACTTTTATCGTCATTTATATGTTTGACCTATCAAGGAATAAACGAGGGAGCTCTTTATCATTCCAATTACAATGAGGATCTGAAGGATATTGATTATTACGCAGCCATAGCCTTAATGAACAATTTTAAAATGAAATTAGGAAACTAACATTCATATATATATTCATATATATATGTATATATATATACATGCATACAATATATATACACACGATATATATATATGTATATACATACGATTGTTTTTGCAACTCCTTTCTCTTAGTCTAGCCTCTACTAGGCTTTGTCTGTGTCCACGATGTGCGATGTGGAGTTATTAAATGTTCAGACATAGCCTAAAAGAGGTTAGGTGAAGCAGGAAGAAAATCGACTTATGATAAATTTAACTTAAAAAAATTTGAAACTCGCAAAATGAAAGACGGGAAAGTGCGCGCAGCTTAATAAAGAAAAGTAACGCACAAATAAACAAATACACTAATAAATGTTAAGGCAAAAGAGCATACGTAGTAATCAACAGTAAGAAAACAATGATAAATGAATAAAGCGATAGTGTACAATCAGGCCAATGAACGTCAAGAACGAATGGAAAATTATCAAGGCTAGCCAAAACAATAGCAACAAAACACAAGGGAGAATGAATTTGTATGTAATTACTTCTTAATTTCAAAGCTAGATCTGGACCAGTAAATAAAACCAATTTAAATGATTTGAAAGTAAAATGCAGTCAGTAGTGATGGAGTTAGTAAGCACACGCCAACGTATGGGTTGATATGATACTAGCTGATCATGCGCTAACAGTATATATAGAACTTCGTGTTCTTTTACATTGTCTCAAGATATACACTGTACACAGCCCACCTAAATAACAAATTAAAGTCCTTTGTAAACGCTGACCTTTTTACAGGCTTGTGATTTCCATGGTGCGTTGCCCAGACAGTTTGGTCAAAGAAAAAACACGAAGCAAACGAGGAGTTGAGAGCGCAACGTACGTAATGTAGGTAAGTTGGAAGTAAAGGAAACTTTTTTATCATTAACTGGAAAGATTGAAGGGCGTATATCGCACAGCATTTTTTTCGATGCTCAAAGGGTTTAGCGAGCAAGGGTTGCAAACTTAAAATCCGAAAAAAGAGAAAATTACATACATTGACTCCTACAAGTATTGTATTGTATGCATTTGTGAAAGGTGTATGTAAATACCTTGCAATAATTTTCGTAAAGAAATGAAAGTATTCAAAAATAGAAGTTATACAATATCGATAAATTTAAAATTCATAAGAATTGTTAAAAGATTTTATACACTTTACAAGATTTTATGCACTTTATCAACAGAACGAAAGAGGAAAGAGGACCAAAGTAATTGGAAAATGTTCAAAAATAGAGTAGTTTTTTAATTAATTTTACGTTCTGTGCTTTTATTGCTTAAAAAATAAGGTTAAATAATTTTTATGACAACTTCAAAAACAAGTTTTCGCCGTCTCAATCAAGTAATTTTAATTTTTTATTGTTTTTGTTGCTATTGTTAATAATTTCAAATTTTCCTTGTTATTTTATATATTTATACTGCAAACTACCCCTTCAAATTTTATAAATAATCCTTTACACGATCATCACGAGATCGGTGTCATCAAATTTTTTTCTGAGTATCGTCTTTATACTGCAGCTATAAACTGTAAACCCAAAAGAGCAATTCATATTAAAACCTCATTATATTACTGGATATATTGGTCTTATTGTTAACAGGCTTAATTCACTCACCTTTAACATTCAAAAAAAAAAAAAAAAAAAAAAAAAAAAAGAGTCGTTTACACATTTTCTGTTCATTATTCACATGAACTGTTACTAAGTTACGTTTTAAAACTTAAATTTTTAAATTTTCAGAGTAAAAAGCAATTGTAGAATAACTTTCCTTCCTTAGAATCTAGAAGCAAACGCTAACGCAACGATAAATTGATAAAAACAAAGAAGAAACATGTCTACGTCGGACTAAGGATTATCAACTAACTTTTTGAAGCTTGGAACAAGTGAATATTGAAAACACCATTTGCTAAGAGAGTCAATCGTTTGGTAAAAGGTAACAATTATGTCAAAAAATTTACATAAGTCATTTCTTCAGCTTCTATTTTATCTGTCTAGATATGGAATCATTGAGAAACATTAAATATATGCTATGCATGTGTAGATGTGAATATGTACGTTATGCTAACCAAATGATTATATACTAAGAACAGGTAAAGTGGATTTACGTGCTCAAGCTTATGCCGTGAAGATCATCATCCTCTATTTACACAATAGAATAAGTTACCAGAAACTCTGGTAATTATTTCAAAAGTGTAGACGTACATTGCGGAATCAGCTAAAAGAAGTATCTTGTAATTTATTAAACGTTTTTATTATTGTTCCTTTAAATTCTTACATTCGATACACAGCCTTTAGCCAAAAATCAAAGGGACCATAAGCGGCAAAATAATGCTTTTAGCGCACTTCCCTCAACATTTTAGGAAAGCAATCAATTACTTTGAGAACTGGAAAAATTTGATATCAAGACCTCCTGCAGAATTTAACTGAAAACTACCTTTAATATATAAGTTAATATATCGCATTCCTATCACAAATTCGCGGAAAATTTGAATTTTTTATGAAATATATCTGGAATAAAAGAGTACTTTAATTAAGATAGCCTAAAGACAACTCATTATATTGTATATTTTGGATGCCAGTTCTGTGTCTTTATAATCTATTGATGTATTTTAACTTTTATTTACTATTAAAAAGCCGCCGTTTTATTTAATATAATGATTTTATTTCTTTCTTTTAATATTAGTCAGTTTACATCAGCTACTTTATTATTTTCACTTTAGCCGCATAAAAATCTGGCAAGTGTGTAGAAACTTTTTTAACATTAAATTCAAGATAATCGTTACGCGGGGAAAATGTAAATTTTTTTAAGGTTTTTTTAACTCAATGAATATTTTTCGGCAGTAAATATATTTTTTACTAAAGGATTAATTAAAACCCTTACGTCGAAAGTTTACTTTTAGATGTTCCTTGCGTAAATTCTATTTCACTTTTGCTTAGAAACTCACACGTACCACACTGACTTAATCAAGCTAAAACTAATGATGAGAAATCAATTAATGGAAGTCAAATGGAACGTCTGTTCACAATTTTATAGTAAACAAAAAAAAAAAAAAATACGTGCAGTCAAATCTACGAAATATTAACTCAAATTTACCTTTTATTTACCTTTTTATTTGCCTTTTCGTTTCCTTCTGCTATCACAAAGGGATATTTTTATTTAATTGAAACTGTATTGTGACAATAAAATTTTATATATTCTCCCTGCATGTGCTAAGTTGAAATTAAAACATTGGGAAGTTGTACTTTTGTAAATAAAATATTAAAGAGCTTCTGTACAATTTTGAATTGACTGATATTTGTAACATGTTCAGTAAGTCGAGAACAAACTGTCATCTGAATTATTTTATTTATTATACTTTTTGATATCAATTTATGATAAATCGAAATTAGAGAGAAATGACTGCGGAATACAATGAAAATTTTAATATAACTGGAAACGTACAGCCATCAAGCATTGAAATATTATCCACAGATTTAACTTTGTGTGCTAATGCAACATTTTCCAGCGCATCTCTTCGTAATTTTTCATTATGTCGCAACTTCACTTCTTTACCGGAATTTCCTACAGAATTTGATAAAACGTTTATGTCTGCTTCCAAATCGATTTATTATCTTAACACATATAAGATTTTGATGGTAATTATTTGGATTTTAGCTAACGAGCTCTACAACTTATTTTGCGTCGAGGGTATCGTTCGAAACCTACTCCTGGTATACCTGTTAAACACATTATCCCGTCAAGCAAATAATAAGTGAAGTGAAGCTAGATACTATTAACGCGGTATGATTTTATTTTATAATCAGTGCACAAATTTCAGTTCAGATGTTTGGATTGTTACATTAAATACATAGAATTTGTTGTTGTTTGGCTTACCATATTGTTTAAATACCCTAAATTTTATTTAAAGGAAATAAAACAAAGGATTTAATGCAGTTTTATAATCACGATTACCGAGGAGGAGGCTAAGTCAGCAGACATCTCTTTATTGCGTTTAATGTCTCGTCTAGTTTAGATTTGTTATTTTCACTCAGATAATAGATTTCATGTGTGATAGAAACGATGTGAAATGTAGACTATATCGAAACAACAAACGGGAACGGGAGGTATGAAATCCAAGCACGTTGTGCATGTAATCAAAATAAACAAATATGGTTCTCTTCATGACAAATTTTAAATGTCTGCTATACATTTCTTAAGATTCTTTTAATTTTTGTTTTGAAGCAACCTCGTATTTTCTTTATAATACAATTTCGTTCCCCTGTTTTGAAAATTATTTTTCTCCCGCCTTTTTATTATGGTATTATTATTTAAAAAAAAAAAAAATTATTCGCTTTATTGTGTTAGTGTATATGCGTACTTGAGCTGTTTTGGATTTTACCGTGTTTTGATTTTTTCATGCCGATGTAATTTTGCCATTTTGCCAGAGCATATAAAAAATTACTTGCTGTTATGTTCTCGTATAAGGGTTTCTTGCTTGTTTTCCCAATAATCAGAGCGAACATATAAAACAAAAATTATTTATAATTAACTCTAGAAAGCTATAGAATGGTGCAAGGGGTATATAAAAAAGTAAAGCTTCCTGTTAGCGTACAAAAGAAGCAAAAACGTGCGAGTAACGCCGCCTTTACTAGAAAAGCAAGTAAGTGTTTTAGAGATCGTGCATTTAAGACTTTGTTTAATTTTTTTTTTGTTTTGCAAGATGCTCCAATTAAGGCGAAAAAAAACAAATTTTCTGAAAGCAAAAAAATTAAGGACGTCATATCGAAATCAGTTAACAAGGCGGTGGAAAAGGAAATACGTGCGCGAGCTGCAGAAAGTACGGTCAATTTGAGTAAGACTCAACAGGCAACAGCACATCTTAAGAATGCCACATGTTTAAGAAAAGCAGTCCCAATGTAATCGTAGTTTTTACTTTTTAGTTATAAATGCTTTTGGATTATAAATATGCCGGCTTAAAAGGTTTTCATAAATTATTATAAATTTCCTAATTGTACTTTTTAAATTATTAGACTACCTTCAGTTTTTTTAGGTATTTTGTATGGTTTACATAAAGAGCATTCAGAACGTAGGTAATGTACTCGCAATCTCAAATCGAAATAGTCACGTTTGGACGTGGAAAATGCAATTGCGACGTGGAAACTTTGTCAAAATAAACAAAGTTTACCTTACATTTAAAACGCTTTTGTTAAGCTCGAAAAGTAATGTAAACTTACCGAGAAATGCATGAGAATTTATTAAGAATGAATGTATGAATAAAATGAACTTTCAAATTTGATTCGTAGGTTGCGTTATTTACTTAGTATATCCGTGACGTTTGGACGTATGACATAAAACGTCGCGTACCGTCAAGTATGATAAAATATGTTCGCTCTTTACAGTAAACACCCAAACACATTTTATACACTTTTCTTTTAAGACGCTTTTGTTTGCAAGCATTCTGTCCATTTTTCACTTGAAAAAGGCGTTTATTGAGAAAACTTTGTATAATATATATTAATAAAAATATTTTCCATCATTTTCTATATTTTTTCCCATCTTTCTGGCAACATGGCGATACCGCGACGAAATAACGATATTGCTATTCAATCATCGACCTATTTTGACACTTTTTAGAATTTCTAAACGACGTGCTAGCCGAGCAATGCTGCATCGATCGGAACAAGTAGCAATTAGAAGACGCTATGTCTGGTGAATACGCTGCAGAACTTCCCATTCGACCTCTAATAGTGTATCTTTGACAAGTTTTGCAAAATGTGGCCGGGCGTTTTTATGTATGAGGACGACTTTGCGTCTGTTAACTGCTATTGCTGGCCTTTTTTGCAACAATATATCATTTATCAAGACATCTGCACTTTCATTCTACACCTTGCTGATCCCACCACATGCACGGCAAAACTTCACGGCCATGAATACTCTGCTTCGGTGTCGTTGTGGACCGCTCTCCTGAAATGACTCTTCTATGACTTTTTGCGCTTGGGTTTGTCATAGTATGCCCACTTTTTATCGCCACAATACACCACAGAAAGCTCGTCTTTTTTATCTTCGCTCAATTTGTCTGGAAACAGTACATTCATTGCCTTTGACCTTTTTGGTCCTTCAGGCCGTTTTTGTCGTTGACATCAAAAGCATCACTTTTAAACCGTTGAAATCAAAATCGATAATTGAGACATAATGAAACACCATCACCATAAGCTAAAAGGGTTTGACGGGCAGCGGATTTCTTCAAACCAAACAACAAAAGTAATAGACGTCGAAAATACAAAATTTGAAAGTACCACGATTAGCGTCTGTTTACAGTGAAATACTCAATAATACCAAATGGAAAATTGTCATCATCGAATTTAACCGTTATGTACATTTACACTTCGCATTATTTTATCATTCTCACCAAGTTTGCGGATCAAAATACATGCATATGCCTAATATTTTCTACCAATTTATATACCCTTCATCGAAAGATGATTTTGCCAATGCAATGCCTAGAGGAAATCTTCAGACACCTTACAAAGTATACATATTCTTGATCACCATCAGATTCTGAATCGATTTAAGCGTGTCCATCTGACAGATTGTCCCTTTGTGTAATATCTGTTTTAAACAATCTATCTTCAATTTGGCAAAAGCTTCAAACTTTGTCTAAACATTGGAAGTCCTTGCGCGCCGGTGGGTAGTGAAAATAGGCCCAATTGTCCGAAGGACGCGCCTATGTGAAAAATTTGTTTTTTGATCATTGTTTACAAACTATAGCATGTAAATATGCAAACATTTGAATGTATGTTCCTAGGAGGATGCTGTACAAAAATGGATAAAATTGACCACGCCTATCTAATATTAGAGTGTGGTAAACATTCTCTCGTTAGCGAAAATGGAAATATCGCCAACAAATTTGCAAAAAAATGTGGAAGTGCCCAAACTTTCCCAAGTATACGCCTATAACGCGTACTCGCCTATGCGATAAAAAGTTTTATTTTGAAAATAGAAAAAATCAGCTCCCCACTTCATATCACAGAGCATGAAAACTTTGTTTATTTTACTTTTTTTGTGTTTTTTACGATAACGATAATAGGTGTAAAAGATTCGGCCACGATAGGGTATGATTGTCTTACTTACTTACTTTTATTTCATGTTAAAAGCAAAAATGTTCATACTATGCAAATGTAATTGATGACCATAGATTAGTCTTGATTCGTGCAAAAGCATGTCCTCAATAAAAACAAGTAAGAAACATTTTCTGCTTACCGATTTTGTCTTAAACCTCGCTCTCCCCCAAAAAAAAAACGAAAAAATGAAATTTCACTAGCGCATGTAGAAAGGAGAGTAAACAATAGACGCATATTCAAGTATTGGTCTCATTAAACTCATACATAAGCTTTTTACGACTTAAGGGTCGTCAAGCTGCTTACAGTATCGTTTAATAAAGCCAAGCATTGACCTATCTCTATTTACAGAGAGATCAATGCGCAAGTTAAAACGAAGCTTATGATCGTATAAAACCCCTAAGCTCATGAAATGAATGATCTACATTTTCCAATTTTTGTGAATTAATGAAGTAATTAATAGTGAATAGTTGAGAATGAAAACTTCTTACAATTTAATGGCTTTAAATTGAATTTCATAAAATTTGGACGGTGTCAAGTTGTCTAAGTCAGATTGAAGTAGATACGAGTGCGAAAGAGACGAAAACAGTTTAACCTTGTCAGTGCAAGTTAAGGTAAGGCTAGGCTTAATCACCGAAGCAAGATCATTAATGTACAGAATAAACAGTAAGGGTGCTAAATGGCTATCTGGAGGGACACTTGACGTCACAGGGAGGTGATGGTGTTAAACAGAACCTCAAACGATCTATTATGCAGATTAAAGCTTATCCATTTTAACAAGTAGAAAGGAAAGCCAGACGCCTGGAGATTAAAGATCAATAATTTATGACTAACCAAGCCAAACGCTTTACTAAAATCAGTGCATATGACATCCGTGCGAGAGCCACCAGAGAAAGTCTTGCAAACATGGCAAGTAAACTCTAAGAGGCTCGTAACGTTTGATTTTTCTTTCAGGAAGCCATGCTGAAACGGAAAAATATAGGATTTCACAGCGAAAGCTATTTCCTGAGTAACAGTTCGTTGAAACGATTTAAGTGAAACTTTCAACTTGATGTCTGTTTCCACCTTTGTGAATTGGAATAGGGAAGCTGCTCTTCCAAAGCAAAGGAAAAACATCCGTTTCCACGACTAAAGTCTGAACTAAAAGACTTAAAGATAATACCACATAATTCCTCAGAGCATAATTTGAGTATATGATAGAATGCCATCAGAACTAGGCGCACAACTATATTTAAGTGACCTTAAATTTTGTAATACGTTTCTATTTGAAATGACTAAATAAGGACTCGGCGTCGAGTTTGTGATTTGATATGGATAATTACAAGTTAAATTCGAACCAGCACTAGAGAAATTTCGGCGAAAGTACGCAGTAAAGTCTTTAATACATTCACGTAATTTTAGCGCAATTAATTTAAGTAATTTCGACTAACATAAGCATTTACGCAATTTTTATTATTGCATTATTTTTATGACCTAATTTTAATTCTTGGCAACGTAACCATTATTTGTAATTATATTTTGGTATATAAGACACATTTGGTATAATAAAAGAGATGAATCGATGGTCATTCAATAATCGATCAATGAAAAGTCAATCATGATAAATTATAAATTGGATAAAATAGATAGATTTATAGATTCGGAATATCCTAAAAACATCCTTAACATAATGACCCTTGCATGTTCATAATAATGACAATTTTTTTAATACCACCTATCAAATTATTTTAAAACATAACAAAAGACGTACGGGGTTCCAATATCATCGGCGCATTCAGAACCATTAAGTAAACGAGTAGAACAGACCCACTTTTCATATATTTTTTAAAAGTTTGTTTTTCGTATTTTTACAGTATTTAGTTAATTTATTGAATTATGCCGGGCTTGTGCTTTGAAGGGGCCAATGTCTGATCGGAGAGGAAAAATAACTAGAAGTAGTACTCCATAAAACGAGGATACACGGGTTTCCATATTCCCAGCAATAAAATCAGGTGAGAGATGAGATTTAAGCAGTGCAATATTGTCTTTATTAAAATCATGTTGAATATTTGCGTAAGAGAGATTTCACGTGTTAGTGTTACTCAAATGGGCATCCTGCTCGTGATGAAAGCACAAACTAAAAAGTGGACAGCGATTAACAGCTACCTCTGGGAAAATTACAACGCAAAGATCTAGCAGTGTGCCATTACAATTAAGAGTATGGTGAAGTAAGTTTCAGCCAAATAATCCATTGAAAATTACACTGGCTCTTTCAGATGTTGAAGTAGGGACTATACAGCTTGAAGTATGGCCATAACATCAAGTAACATTAAAGTCATTCAGTACTATGACCATATCAGTAGGTTTTGACGTTTCGAATAAAGTCTGCGTGTTTCTTATAAGTAGAAATATCCTCATTTGGAAATAGGTAGGAACAAATATAAGTGTTTATTAACAACTTTTACGCAAGTGGTAATAATTCGAGGCCGGGAGGAGTTGGAAATTCAAACGAATAGGACGGAAAATATATGGCAATTAAAACATTACCACTAATAGGATCTAATCGATCATTCCTTACAACATGGAAAGCCTTGGAGGTCAGGCTTAAGCCAGGACTCAGTAAAAGCGATACACGAGAAATCAGTTTTCACTGAATTTAGGTAGATAGACCGTATTTCGAGGCTAACGTGGGCAGATATATTCGAAATGGGACGTGCAGGACCGCAATCTACGCTACAGGTTGGTCTCTTACACGTTGGACGAGAAGATAAATGCTCTAAGTGTTCATCAAACATCATTTTAATTTTTCTCACATTTTCCACACAATGTCACGAGTTCTTTATATATTTCAGAAAAACAATTTCCTGTCTCAATGAAAGGCTTATAGAAATCTACGTTCCTCTTTCTACACTCGGTATATGACCAACGTAATCCTTTCGATGAATCCAAGACTGCGTCTGCAGCAAGGCCAGTTATACCCGCTCATTTGGCATGACAGTAATACTCGCAAAGCCTAAAACTAATGGACAGATCGGAGTCAGAACCTGTTTTGGTTGACATGGTGCAAATAAAGAAACCGTGTTGAACGGCAGAAGTAAAAATTGAAGTTATCAAGAGGGAAAAAACAAAAAAGTTTGCCACGTGTTCACAACGTTCTTTTATTTATTTATTTATTTATTTATTTATTTATTCTACTTATACTAGAAACTCAACTAAACAAATAACAGTCAAGTTCAATTGGCTTTTAATGCAAAACTTATATTAATTAATAATAAAATTTAGTATAAGTACAATAAAACAAATAAAAAGAAGAAAAAAGGAAAAGAAAAAAAAGCATGTACACTATCAGCATAGGGACACACTTACAACCGGTACAGGACCAAATTGCAAATGAACCCCTAAACCATCGCAAACATGCATAAGCCTGGCAACCGATAATAATTAACAATAATTCATTTTCGAAACGTAACGATTTTTTAGGATAAAAGCTAATTTAAATACGGCATAGGTAAATCGCGCGTATTAAGCAATATTGCTTTAATGGACTTTAAAGAGTCCGATAACGAGAATAAGTGGTAGACGTCATTTAGGTTCTTGCAAACGATTCTGAGCGGATTGAACAGCTCATAATTAAACTTACACTGACTAAGCTTAACCAAGATAAAGTGCCTGGAGAAGCGGTTAGGGACATTAAAGCTTATTTCACCAAGTAATGAAGGCGAGTCAATGGCACCATTTATTACTTTAATTAGAAAGGAAACGCCAAGAACAAATCTACGTTTCTCAAGAGACGGTAGGGACAGCAGAAGCAACCTATTTTCATACGGAGGAAGAGAGGCAACCGAATCCCAACCCAAATTTCTAAGGGCAAACAGCAAGAATTGCTTTTGAACAGATTCGATTGAATCTACGTAGCACCTATATGAAGGACACCACACAACTGAGGCATACTCGAGTATGGGTCTAACCAAACACATGTACAGCCTTTTCGTAATGTAGGGATCATCAAGCTCTTTGGACCACCTTTTTATAAAACCAAGCGCGGACCTAGCTTTGCTAATCGAGAGCTCAATATGCAAGTTAAAACGTAACCTATGGTCAAATAGAACACCTTAATCTGTGATCGAATCGACGTCCTCCAACTTATGTGAATCTATGAAATACTGAGTAATGAATGACTTTCTTCTTGAGAATGAAAGCTTCTTACATTTACTCAGATTTAGTTTCAGCAGATTCAAAGAGCACCATGCAACAAAATTATCCAAATCACCTTGAAGCTGATGTGATTGCGATTCAACAGAGAAGGAAGAAAACAGTTTCACATCATCAGCATACATTAAGATCTGACTGGAATTAACCACCGATGGGAGATCGTTAAGGTATAAACTAAATAAAATGGGACCTAAGTGACTTCTTTGAGGTACGCCAGACGTAACGGGGAATTCATCCGAGGTGATGAAGTTAAACAAAACCCTGAAGGACCTATTGTGCAGATAAGAGCTTATCCATTTCACTAAGTAGGGTGGGAAACCAGAGGCTTGGAGTTTAAAGATAAGTAAGTTATGGTTAACCATATCGAATGCTTTGCTTAAATCAGTGTGTATCACATCTGTGCGAGAGCGACTAGAAAAAGCCTTGAAAACATGACAGGTAAACTCTAACAAGTTGGTGACTATAGATCGCCCTTTCCGAAAGCCGTGCTGGTGCGGAGAAATATACGAATTAATGGCAAAGGCCAAATGCTGAGTCACAATACGCTCGAACAACTTGGGCAAGACACTCAACTTGGCTATGCCTCTGTAATTCTCAACAAATTGTCTACTTCCACTCTTGTGGATAGGAATAAGGAAACTACTCTTCCAACATGAAGGGAAAACACCTAAATACAAGGACATGTTAAAAATCTTTGAGATTACTCACATAACTCGACAGCGCAAGATTTAAGTACACATGATGGAATTCCATCAGGTCCAGGCGAACAATTGTATTTTAGAGAACTCAACACTTTAAAAACGTCATCTTCCGAAATAACCAAGTTAGGTATTGAAACCGAGTTAGTTATAGGATATGGGTAGTCGGAAATACTCAGCAAATAGATTTGAGATTTCAAAATCATCCGAGGAATCAGAGCCATTAAAAGAAACATGAGAGGGATATGTGGAAATTTTTCTTTTAGAGTTAACAAATTTAAAGAAGAATTTAGGGTTAGCAAACAGAGAGGATTTAATGAACTGAAGGTATCTGCAGTAATAATGACGGTTGAGGGAGTTAAATCTATGCCTCGCCACCGAGTAAGCGACATAGTCGAGCGCAGAGCCACTTTTCGAATATTTTTTGAATAGCGAGTTTTTTCTATTCTATTCTATTTTAGCACGCAAAATTTGCACTGTTAAAAACAAAGTAAACAAAGAGAAAATGTTTGAAAAGCAAGACACTTTTTGACGAGAACACTATGTGCTGATTTCAAAAATTAAAAGGCGAAGTTTAATATATTTCGCTACATAGAGCAATTTTATAATTGTTTAGGCTTTAAAATCGTTTAAAACAATAAAATAAAAAAGGTTTACAAGGTTTATACGCACTAGTAAAAAAATACGGCCACAGCACTCGAGCAGGGCTGCCATCCCTACAATCATTGATATCTAGGAATAGACGTATAGATGCCTCTTGTAGGTAATTGATCGAACTAATGTTCACGCATCTTATTTTCCATGTTGCATAATTTGAGCAGCTAAATAACATTTCCAGATTGTAACAAAAGAAAGAAAAATGCTTTTTAGCTGATTGTGGTCAAGAGTATGTTTGTGGGTGTTGGCATGTGGGTAAATATACAGAGAATAAAGAGAAGAAATTTCTGTCTTTCATAATGAGTAATGAGCAGAAGCCCATACATTTTTGCTTAGAGAAACGAAGTTACGTTAACTTTACACATTACTGCGTGTGCTCCAACCAATTTAGCCCATGTTCAATAGCAACCTGCGTGTAGAGACTTGCAAAGGTTCTCCTAAACACATCCCACACAAACGCAGAGAAAAACAGACACGGCTTAATCCATTCACATTTTCATGCCTATGCTATGCCTTATACGCTTTGAAACTGATTTTTGGGTGTCGCAAGCATTATTACAAAATAAGTCCACGCCCACCTATTGAAATGCAATTTCCATAATTATTCCACAAAAAATTTTTCAACCCTAATATGAGCAGTTGTATGCATAATTTTTTCTGACTCAGCGTTGCTAGATATACAAGCGTTCGTCCTTAAGAAGAATAATATTTTATTACAATTCATTTATTTATTTGCCGGTTTATTCCTAACTCAGTTGCACTATTCTAGTATCTTTGAAGTCCTCTAAGATATGTATTTACATTTCAAGGTGTTTACATGTGGGAAAACGGTAACGTTAAGATGATTGTCTACGCCTCTATGAACAAAAGGTCACGGAAAAAAATTAAGAAAAATCGACCCCTGTCTCTTTACTTTCTTTATACGTTGCACATAAGAAAATAAGAAAACAGTATTAAAACAACAAAGATAAAGTCAAGGTAACGCCTTTTAATTTTATGTATATGGTTGAGTGAACATGCAAATATATATGCAACGTATATGTGTTTGTCTTTAATTATTGCATTGTAAAAGCTATTATAGTTATATATTATATATAAGATTACCTGTGGGTATCCAGGTTAACATGGGTTAATTCGATGTTTTATGCATAGTATACACTGTTATTAGTAATTATTAACGCATTCGTTCTACTACCCTTTAATTTTCCAATTATTTGTACTATGTTTTCTTTCTACTTAAAGGAAGCAACTTTGTGAAGGTTGAATGTACGTAAAAGCATACATACACAGTGAAAGAGAGCTTCCTTCTACGTACTACATAATCTTTCGCAATGCGGTAAAAATAATCTATTTTTGATTGATTTTGAATTCATCGTGAGAAACTGCTCTTAAAGTTCTTATAACACCTGTAGCTGTTTAGTCAATTGCCTCAATATCGGACAGTATAAAATATAACTCGCGAGTATTTTATTTATTTACACTCGAGAGGAAAAGAATCATCCACCTCCTACATTTTCACTTCGAACTTACTAAATTAAATTTAGGTTGCACACATAACTTAAATTGAACTAAAGTACACATTGTTGGCTTTTGAAAAAGACTTCCTCCTGACCTTCAATACGATTACAGTAGCAATAAGACAATAGAAATACCCAAAATTGACCGTCTCTGATAGCACTGTTTCCGCTATTTTGAACAGGTATAAAAAGAGTAATAAAATAATAAAATTGGTACAAAAATATTTTTTAATACGGCGTATTACCTCCCCTGGCTTGACCAACAACTTCCATTTGATTTTGCAACGAATAAAAATGTTTTTTACAAAACCCAGCGGCGTCTTATCCTATTCTTCCTTAATTGCAGTTCGAAGATCTCCGAAACTTATAGGCACCGTGTTTCTGGCCCGTAATCGTGATTTCAGCCCGACCCATAGGTGTTCAAAGGGATTGAGAGACTTCGAACAGCCCACGTCATAACGGGCACATCGATCTTCTCCAAGTACTGGTGCACTACAGCAGCAGTGTACGGTCTTGTGTTGTTATGTATGAAAGTGCAATTTGCGATGATAAATCTCGAAAAAGACAATACGTGTTCTTCTAGGCTTCCTTCGATGTAGCGTTAGGCGGTCAGCAAGGGTCCTTGTGATGAACACAAGTTCGGTTTTCGTTTCCAGTGACATGCCTCCTCGAACTACAGCTTGAGCCACGTTCTGAGATACAGCATTGTATGAAATATTCACTGGGTCTTCAGTAGTTTCTTTTCCCCCCATCGTTGCCATCATTACTATGAGGACACATTTTGTACTCGTTCAGAGGACAATACTACCGTCCATTGATCCATAGTTTAGTTTACACTTTCTCGAGCGAACTGAAGGCGTGCTTCTCGGTGGGCTCTGTTAGACCTCCTACGGTTAGCTTCTTCTAGTCGTTCAGCGACTAACTATCACTGCTCTAATTTTCTGGAGCTGCCACACGAGTTGAACTGCATTCAACCGGCGATTTCGAAGAGATGTTGTGGGAAGTAAACGGTCATCACGCTGTGTT